TTTATGAACCTTTACCTCCAGTCTTTGGTAACTCGCTGTAACATCAAGTCAGGTGAGTCAAACTGTCGAGCAGATGTCCACAAACCATCATCCTCTCACAAGACGACATGAAATCTAGTGTAATTTCAGTCGAACAGGCGATGAGGCCGAGAAGAAACGAGGTGTTTGGTCTTTCTCAAATCTGAGGTTTGAGGTTCTTGGTCCAAGTTTTGCTCTTGCAGGACCGGGTTCAGGTTTGGACTCATGCTGGACTCTGAATGACAGTGATCCATTACAGTTACACAGCAGATTAATTAAACCGGCGCCTACTGTTCACACACAAAGAGGAGAGCGATGAAAGGAGGCAAAGGTTAAGAGATAATGAAATGAATTCTCTCTGACACACACACACACACACACACGCACACACACACACACACACACACACACACTCTGGGATCATCCGTCATTGGCTGCAGATATGAGGAGGCTGTAATAGTTCTGTGACCATCATGAAAGGTGTCGAGTAATTGACCTCTGTTCACCGATTGATCCAATAGTGACAGATCGGACTGATCACATGACCTCCTCTGAGCGTGTGCATATACATGTGTGTGTTAATTTAACCTTCCCTCTTGTTGTTGTGACAGTGCGATCAGCTGAAGGACGAGTTTACTTTATCAGTTTATCATCTTGGCGTCGTCGTCTGCCGTTGTCGTGCCGACCTGAGAGCATCGTCTGCACAGCCTCAGTCTGTCCAAACATCCTCCTGCGGCTCGTCGACTACACAAACTCCCAGATACAGTCAGGGCAGAGCGCTGTCATGATGACACACTGCAGACGGGCAGGAACACACACTTTCACACACACTCACGTTCCCGTGTGTAAACACAGGGATCCACATCTTTACACACACTGGTATCAAAACCAGGCGAACGGCGAGGCGGCGAACAATCAGAGCTTTCAGATGGATAAGATGGATGGACGCTGCGTTCGCTCCCAGAGAGTGAAGCCAAAACATTTGGACTTAAGGTCATAAGCTCCGCCTCCTCCATGTAAACAGATGGATTCTAGCTATCCTCTGGATCCACCCCCAAACCCTGCATCTCTCCTCTTTAATAAACAGCACTCGAGTTGGTTCTTCCTCTGTCCTGGTCTGACCTCCTGTCAGTGTTCATCTGCAGCAGGTTTTACAAAGATACTCAGATATCAGGACGAGGCCTGGGACGATAAGTTTGGCTGGACGATAAATTGTCCCACAAATTATTGACAATAAACGATATTATTGTTGACGTTATCGAGACCAAAATAACCTCTCAGGTGATGTTTACTGTATCACATATTTTCTGGAGGGGAAGTCCTCTTATCGGTCAAAAGTTTGTATCATTTCTCAAAATGTCGGCTTTTTTTTTAACCGTATTAAATGGAAGCATTTCTTTTGGGCTTTCTGTGAGCGCACGTCATTTTGTGCTGTTCCGACTGTACTTTCTTTGTTAACCAAACGCTTCAGTACACGTTGACTGTCGGGCCGACAGCTCTGCATCTCGGGGTGCAGTTTTTTTCCCCAGCTGGGAAAACTCGACCAGGTTCTAGTGTTTGAGGCGAGCATTCAAGTTTGTTGTGTCGCCTTTTTTTGTCGCAACCATTTTTAAACAAAGTCGGCGTACTGGCTCGTCTGTGTTGACGGTCCCACTTTGCTCATTGGGCTTGAAGCCGAAATATTCCCACACTGGGGCTGTGGCATTTAGCTTTGCAATAAGCTCTTCCACGCTCCTCTCGACACTAACTCGCTGCAGTCTGATTGTTTGCGCTTGTGGCTCCGCCTCCTCCCATAGATACAAAGATCCTGAATGACTGACAAGATATTTCACGCCGTTTATTTCATTCTGCAAACAAACGCGCCCGAGTGCTGAGACCGATGCACAGAGTGAACCCTCGTGTCATCCAGCGTGTTTGGAGGTGGAGGAAAACAAATACACACATGAACATGGCGATATATATCGAGGCTGGAAAAATGATTGGGTTCACTTTCATTTATCGTTCGGTTTATTGATTTATTGATTATCGTCCCAGACCTAATCAGGATTTTGACTCGATAGGTGTTCCCTGCATGGATGATCCAAAACTGCAGAAACCGGCTTCAGTTTTACACTTTTAAAGCTGCAGGATAATCTGTTTTTTGTTAATGTAATGATTGCATGAACATCAGACATGATTTTAACATGATAAACAGCAGGATAAATGTTGGAAACTCCTCCAGAGTTAGTCTTTTGGTGAAATCTCCTTTTATTTTTAGTCATTTTCAGATGGTATGATTAATCCTCAATAGTTTTGAGTATTAATTCTCATTTCTACTGCTTGATGTTTTCAATCACAGCTTTAACTGACACTCTCAACGCCCAACAATATCACACCACAATTAAAAGTAAACACAACTACCCAGAAACAAACTCCACACAGTCTGGTTTCAAACATCAGCACATGATTTCAGAGCAAATGCAGACGACCTTTGACTATTAAAGCTGTAAAAAAAAAACACTAATAAGTACGTTTTATCGGTACTCCAGCATCAGGATCCTGATCTGCCCTCTTAGGGACAAAAATCAGACTCATTCTCAGACAGCTACATTCAGGCAAATATGTCAACAAGAAGCACTTTGAAGAGAGAAAAATATAGGGTTATCTTTTCATCATCAAATAGTCTGTCTGCAGCTCTGAAAGGAGAAAAGGTTTACTGTCAGCTGGACTGGGTTTGAGTCAGTCTTAATAGAGACGTAAACATCGGCGAAGTGAAGCGAGAAAACTTCTGTTGTACTTTCACAAACTCTCAGCAGACCAGAGCAGTCTGTGCTGTTTGACCAATGAGAGGAGTCTATTAGCTTTGTATCTATGATAAAGCAGCAGTGTTTAGACCAGTTTTATTACCATATTGACACAAATCGAGGTGGGATTTTTTTCCCTCCAAATACGTCTAAAAAGAGCGGGATTGTCATATATTAGGAGTTTCATAAATAACATCTCTGTTTTTATAATATAAGTTCAAGAAAAAGGACAGACTTTCTTTAAAATCCACTCGTTTCTTGAAACCGGCAGCTTTCAAAACATTCAGGAGCTTTTAGATGAACAGAGATGATCAGTATATTTTCAGGAAATATCTGGATTAAGTCCTAGATTCAGCAGAATTTCAGTTTCGTCCATCTTTGTTTTGGTCTGTCATCCAATCAGAGGCTGCATCTGTGATCAGCTGACCTGCTAAATCCAGAGACAGGGTTCCTCCACAGTTGGAATTTCCATACTTTTGGAATTATTTTTGGAAATACTAACTTCTATTTTAGAAAACAGTATTTCTCCTACTGTAGTAATATTCTGGAAACATTAATATTTTTCCATACTTTATTTTTCATTTACGATACTTTTTAAGACCTGGAAATTGATCAAATTACTTCCGTACTTTTCCATACTTGTGTAGGAACCCTGCAGAGAGAGGTCAGAGCTCCTAATACAGACTTACTCTCAGTGTAGAAACGTGACAGATAGGTGTCTTTCTCTCTTCATAGATCTGTCTTTCTGTCTCCATTTTGGGCAGTTCTCCTTTAAATATTACCTGCTGACCCGCATGTTTAACGTCTCCGTGGTTACTGCGGCTTCAAAGGTGAGCCCACATTTGTTGTGATTAAATAATAAGACAGCCGACTTACAGCTCTTCATTTGACTTTTAATTTGTTAACTGTGGTGTTGAACCCAAAATATAGGGATGAGAGAAAAAATCGATTCACATAAGTATCACGATTTTTTGTTTTACAATTTTTAAGTAGATTTTTATGTCCAAAGATCTATTTTTTTTCCCCAAAATTCACGAATAAATCTTAAAAACTGACTTACATATAATGAGAATTTTTTGGGGAAATACAATTCCTGTAACAGTCAGTAGACAATAATAATCATTCAACTGTTTCACTGGTTTTAAAAACACAGACTAAAGATTGAAAAAATTGGCAACATCCTAGAATCGCAATTTAAATCGAATCATCATCCAAAAAATCGTAGAAGAATCGAATCAGGAGAAAAGCATATCATCCCAGCCCTACCAAAATACCTCCCTATTACCACTGTGATAGCGCCCTCTGCTGGCTGCACGGCCTGATTAACTGTATATTTGAACCCAAACAGCTCAGTAAAAGTTTGAACCAACTCTCATATTTGGGATTAAAAGTCACAGCCCTAAGTCTCACTTTCATTTGTTACGGAGGATTTAAAGGAAGAATCCACAGTTTTTTACAGCCTGAACTTCCTAATTGTTGGAGCAGCGATCACAGGTCGGAAATTAAAGTTTCAGCTTCTTCTTAATTTCTGTTTCTCTTAAAACTCAAGGCTGGAGATAATAAGCAGAAGTGGAACCGAATATTATCCTCCCTGAGAAACAGAGAGCATGAATACTGTATGTATTTCTCCTCTGCTTTTATTCACTTGGTGCAGGTCCAGGGTGGTTTTTTCTCAGCTGGGAACATGACATGAGTAATAACAAGCCAGTTTTAATAAACCTCAGTGCTGTGGGCCAGACTCTTAAAATCTGATTTGAGTCCCAGTCTGTAGAAGTTTCAAACTCCCCGGACCATCACTTTTATTTTTTAACAGCGATTTCAACACTCGTACTATCTCCATCTCGATATTAACAAAAGTTGATTCACTTTTTGAAGGTTTTCAGCATAAATAAGCCAAATCTACTTGACAGGTTCCCCCCTAGAGGAACCAATTACTCTGAATTCATTATGGAGGCAGAAAATCATCCAGAATATTTTATCACAAGTTGAGTAACTGTTGCTCCGAGGGACAAGAGTCACTCAGCCTGAATAGGAGCGGGAGGGGAAGCTGAAGTGCTGTTCAGAGATGTATTTTAATTTTAAATTAAGTCCATCATTTTAGTCTGAAGTCAACAGGAAAAGTGAAACCAGAACTATCCCACAGACCTCCTTCTGTCAGCTCATCCCTCATCTCACACACGACTCCATCAAATACATTGATTATCCTATATAGGGGACCTGATCTATCGACTGATTGATCAGCCGGTCCTGAAGCTCGGAGTTCATGGATTTTTCTCTGCAGATGAAATCCCCACGAGGACCTCGGAGTGATGAAGGTGGCCTTGGCTCGGCACTCAAGGTGAAAGTTCCCTGAGAGCCGCAAACAATGACGGAGCAAACCCCAGGAACGAAAGCTGCTCTGATAAAGACACAGAAAAAAGATGTGCGTCCATTAATGCGGACAGTCGCCATGTTTATACGTGCAAAATTTCTTGATCGGATTTAAAATTTGAGGGATTGGAAAATCTGAATTGACTGTTTATATGGGTGCAAAGTCAAATAGTCTGATCTGATACGACTTTTATTCCGATTAGAAACATTTGGACATGTGCAGAGTTTTCTGATTTCACTAAAACAACCACAGAAGAAGAAGAAGAGTTGTATTTACGCCTGTGCTGTCAACAAACCAACAAACACAGTCGTGGCTCACTTTGTTTGATTCAGGATTTTCCCCTCTGTTAAATATTGTCACTAGATGGCGCCTTTTGCTTAGACTGAGTCAGGTTGGAGAGTCACGATCATATATGGACAAGTTTCGGAATTACAATCGGCATAAACCACCCCTCTGGATCAGAATACAAATTCTTTCCTATTGAGCCGAATCGGATCGGAATCTTCCAATCGGAATGTTTACATGAGACTTTTTTATTCCGATCGGGCCTTTATTCCGATTATTTGTGCCCATGTAAACGCAGCTCCTGTGGGATACCGATGAGTTCACAGTCAGATTTGGGCATCCATCACAAAAGCATGTATCCCAACCAAGGTTATAACAGTTTTGGATTTTTCATTTTAGTTTAGTTTTATTTTGTTTCGATTTTTTTTTTTTTTTTACAAACCCCGGACATTTGAAGGATTTTATAAACTCCCCCAGACAAGGCAGGACAGCCCCCAAAAAAGAGGACATGTCTCGGTAAAAGAGGACTTATGGTCAACCGATCCATACCAGTCTTAAAAATCTACGATGGGTCAGTCTGCAGACTTCCTTCATGAGGTCTTTGGAGGTAACAGTCATTTGAGGATAGAAGCTAAGTGTCTCTGCCTGTTCAAGAGTTAGTAAGTGATATAAAGTAAACGTTACAGTAATGATCCCATTTATATCTATTAGGACTAACAGCTGTGAAACGATCATTAGAAAATAAAACACCACTCCTGCAGTAGATGATTAAACATCTTGTTGTTTCTCCTTTAAATGAAACAATAAAGATAATTCATAAAAAAGCAGAATCACATGAACGAACTTTGAGACACACAAGCAGCAGCAGCAGAAGGCCGCACATCTGTACGCCACGCATCAGAAACCCGGGCGATTGATTACCGCTGTGCACGGCTGAATAAAAGCTCCAATCAGGAATATCCAACTGTTGATGCACTTTTTCACACACACACACTACACACACTACACACACACACACACACTATCACACAGGGGATCTAATTTAGCATTTCTATGGACTGGGAAACACACACAATAAGGAGGTAGTAAAGTGTGACTGGCATGGTAAGAGTGAGTATTGATTAGTGGACTGTGCTCATGATTGTTGGTAATCTGACTGCCCAGCTGCTCACACACACACACACACACACACACTAACACACACTAACACACACACACACACACACACACACACACACACACACACACACACACTCTTTATACCCTTAAATAAGCAGAAAACACTCCCACATGTAAACAAAGCGACTCATATATCTCATAAAAGCTGAACACACACACACACACACACACACACACACACACACACACACACACACACACACTCTCCCTGTGTGCGCTCTGAATGTGAATGTAAATGATGAAACCCTGCGATAATTAAAGAGTAGTGAAATGTAATTTACACACACTCTCACTTCAGATCAACTTGGGTGATTTATGGGTCCTATCCCGGTGTACACACACACACACACACACACACACACACTCTCACACACAGAGTGTTGGATGTTAACTCGGCTCGTCCCGTGTCCACTCTGCCACCCACACACTCTCTCTCTCTTAATAATGATTAATCTCATAAAAAAGCCCAGCCTGCTGAATAATGGATGCTTGTCTCCGTTCCTGCAGTTTAAATATATACGTATTACCCCATGAATAATTAACACCTTCATTTCACAGCTGTCTCTAAAACCCAGGATGGAGAGGACCCACGACTCCGTCCACCATCCTTCTTCCTTCTTCTCAGGGACATAAAACCGGATTACAGCCACATTTGGAGTTAGACTCCTCTCTTCAGAAACAGACGAGTTACTGCTCTGAATTATCTTTGATTTAAAAAGCTCAAAATAACAATGAGTGGAGGTTTCAGGGTGTGAGGTCCACTTTAAAAACCTGTTTCTGCTCATCAGCCGCTGAACCAGAACCACCAAAGTGTTTGAACCACATGATGCTGCTCACAGATTCATGATGCAAATCTGGTCGGACACATAACAAGGCCAGTCTAGTGGTACCGCCTCTGAGCAGCTACGCACTCAAAGAAAACACATGTACACTTTTGTAGAGCAGGAAGAAGACTCCTTAATTTAAGACAACACACACACACACACACACACACACACGATTGTTTTAAAGTAAACAAACATGGCAGACTGTTAGAAGCTGCTTCTATCCTTGTACTTCTATGTTTTACCTAGAGAAATAAAGCTGAAGAGCTAAACCTGCAGTTCCCCGAGTGTCCACTGGGGGCACTCTGGAGAAGCACCAGAAACTACCAAGACAGTCTAGCTGCAGACCTCCACTGAGAGAACCAACCTCCACTGACAGTTAAGGTTTAAAGGCTTTCAAAATAAAAGCAAATATACCGAGAAGTATGTTTGTAGTTGTTTTACTTTTTGCCCAAAGTTGATTTGAACCCTTTCAAAATAAAAGTAAATGTATCAGGAAGTACTTTTTTTTGTCCGAAGTTGATTTTAAGCGTTTCAAAAAAAAAGCAAATATATGAGAAAGTACATTTTTTTATTTTTTTTATTCTTAGTTTATGCGAAGCCTCTCAGAATAAAAGCAAATATGTCAGGAAATTCTTTTTCTTTCTTTTTTTTGTGCAAAGTTGATTCAAAGCCCTTCAAAATAAAAGCATATATATTAGGAACTACATTTGTTTTTTGTTTGTTTGTTTTTTTTGTCCATAGATATCTGAAGCCTTTCAAAATAAAAGCAAACATACCAGAAGTGTATTTTTTCACATCTGAAGTTGATTCGAAGCCTTTCAAAATAAAAGCCTTTCAATAAAAAGTTCGTATTTTTTGTGCCGTCTGAATATAATTTTATTTCTTGGAGCTTTATTTTATGTTTTTAATGTTAATATGACTTTTTGTGTATTTCATGTGTTCAACAAAGAGAAAATACAAAACGGGATGACCACTTCAAACAAACTGGAGCGTGTGAGAATAAACGTCACCTCGGGTCCTCTCAGTGGAGGTCTACAGTCAGACCCGTCTCGAAACATTAGAGAAAAGGTCTACATCTGTGTCCTTTAAGGGGGTTTGGTGGACTAAAAACCAGAAGATAAGTTTCTGCAGACTCATAACTGAGCTCATGATCAGACGCTGGTTTAACTGCGAGCGCTCGCTGTATTCAGAGAATCTACAGCTGTTCAGAAATGCACTTTGTTTGGCGTTGCGTCATCGATGCACCACACAGTAAACAGACTGGTGCTGAGGTTGAGACGCTGATGGCTGTTTAATATTGTTAACATCAATATTTACTATTTCTTCATTCACTCTCTGCCACAGGGAGCCGTTTGAGGTTCACCGTCTTGCCCGATGACACTCTGATCTACTTCAGAAAAAACCTTCATAACTCTGATTTTTGTCATGAGGAGTTAGAAATCACCCAAAACACCGTCTGAAATCTTTACACACTCACTTCACTCAGTCAAATGTGTAGATCGAGGGCATGTGGGGGAGGCAGGAGCTCTGCAGAGCCAGCATGGAGGCAGTAAGATAGAGGTCGTGCTTGTCGATTTGTGTGTGTGTGTGTGTAGGTGTTGTTCTGCCCGGCTGTGCAGACTGCAGCGTCGATGCTCTGAACTCCATCTGTGAGTTCAGGAGTGTTTGTTTGCTCTGCGGTCAGCCTGTCTGTGATGGGAGATGCGCCGTCCTTGTATCGCAGGTCTTTGAAATTCTTCTTCTGTGCACGCACGGAGAAGTGGGCTTTATTATTTAACACTGTGGCCCACATACACGGCGTGGTAAACTCAAAGCCCCAGCCTGGATTGTTCAGAGTTAAAGCAATTATTCATGTTACATCACAGGGCCACGAGGAATGTTCCTGCTATTCTGTTGCTCCTCATTATGTATAGAGGGCCTTTGTAATTTTAATGGGAGACTAAACTCGCTTTATCATAGAAATTCTTCTGATGTACATCCTCGCCTTGTGTTATTAGACGTGAGCCTCTCTGCTGTCGATGGTCTGTCTGCTGTCCTTGGGTGCACCACGGGCACGAAAACACACCGCCGCTGAAGAATAACAAATAATGAAAATAAATCTGCCCTGCAGCGAATCTGAGGGCCAAAACATTCGCGCCCAGACAAATCCACTCAGAACATCATTTTTTATGCAGAACTGTTTTTTTTATTAAGTTGAATGTATGGTTCAGCAAAACAAAAACAAGCACTGAAATTAAAGGCACTATAAGGAACGTAACGCCAGGATTCCACCGCATGCAAAAACGCGAGCATACAGCGCCCACCGGATCAGATCAGCTGCCACAAGTGATGGAGAAGCGCTTGTGATGTTACCGATATCTTACGAGATTTCGGGTTTCACCGACAGACATTGAATGAGATCGGGGGTGTATGTAAACACCCACATCCCACATCCCTGGCCCCTCCCATTATCACATAAAGAACAGTTCAACGTATTGACCTTATTTTGAAAATTGATGCGTTGTGCTGCGGCGTCCGACAAAAATATAACTCTTGCATATCTGATCCGACCGCCAGAGCAGAGAGATAGATCGTTGGATTCATGCACATTGATGATAATGTTTGTGTATTTGATCAGGCTGCCGTTCGGTATCCTGTGGAATTTAGCTGTTACTGTTGAGATGATTCTGGCAACCCCTGTGGACAAAATTGGTATTGCTTCTCCAGGATTCTAGAAGTAGATTTCCTCCTCTGGAAGGACACAATCTACTGCTTATATGTCTATGTGTCTGTCTTTATAGAGACAACTCGTTATCGCGCGATTGTACGTGAATCCGCAGGTTCTTGTGAGTTCTCGTGATTCCTGCTGTCTGTAATCAGCTACGAAATTCACCTCACAAATGAATCCAGTATTGATTGGCGTACAGTAAAAATCGTCGCCATTCCAGATGCGATAAAAATTGGGCGTAAGCGTAAAATACTGTGTTATGCATTGCAACAACCGACAACAGGTAACAGTAGGCATCCATCTTGGTTTTCCAGCTTGCTAACTGGAACGCCGTCAACTCTGTTGTAACGTCTTTTCCAGCCTCGACTTCCGCAGTAGCAGCGTAAATTGAACAATCGCCATCACCTTGCATTCATTTGCTATTTGAACACGTTAGCATGAAGAAGACTCTGCTGGAAGTCTTGAGATCGGTGCGTCCAAAGCCTCGCCAAAGACCGCTCCGTGGGCTGCAGCTGACAGACCTGGAGCTGCTTCACATCCCGTTGAACCCAAATATCTCCTCTAACCTCGCTGTGAACTGCAGCGTAGGAGTAACCCGTCCAAAATCCACCGCTCATCATCAAAGAGCGACACGCAGAACAGCGGCGGGCTAATGGCAAACGGCCCGGGTTGGCACGCTGAATATAAAGAGGATGGATATTTCTCAGCCTGTGAATTCCCATGATGCTTTAATGCTGCTGTCTGTCATTTACAGGATCTAGAGTAGAGATGGACTCAAGCTGAGAGGGTTGAAGTGTCTCTCTTCAGTGGAGCTCGGGTGTATTTTCACATGAGCTTCAGCGGCAGAGTTACTAAGAAGGACAAAGAGGCAGAGAGGGAGAACAAAGGTAGGAGGTATATATACTGTACGTCTGACTCTATAGGATCGGAGGAGAGGGTAAATCCAAGGACTGAGGAACAACAGGAAGAGGCAGAGAGAGAGAGAGAGAGAGAGAGAGAGAGAAATGTGTTTCAGTGGAGCGAGCCTCGGCTGCCAAAGACTCGCAGAGATCTCCTGTTGATCAAAGTGCGTCTCCCTCCTGCTATCTCCCTCCATCTCTGCTCTCAACTCCTCCTCACATCTTTTTTGACAGGATTACCAAATCCCCACGAGTGCCGCTTGGAGAAGCAAATCAAATATTCTGTATAATCTGCTGATGGCAAGAGTGAGGAAACTTCTCTCCTGAACTGACAGCCAAACACACATTTTTGACACGCCAGAATCTGTATCTTCATAGTCATTAAGAGCAGCCAACACTGGAGCGAACCAAACCGATCTGAGCACCTATACAGAGAGTAAAATATACATACTCTGCAAAGATCTCAGAGCACATGATGTAACGTTGAATCTGAGCCACATTCACGAGGAGCTCAGAGGAGGTTTTTCTGTCTCGGTGTGGAGAGACTCGTATCTGCAGAACTTCACTGAAGAAGGTTCGGAGCGATTCAACAGCCTGGTTCAGTGAATATAGAGTCTTCCTATGGTTGGGTTTGGTGAGCTGTCAGGTGAAACTACTTTTAAACATGCTTAAAAATCTGCGTTTAACAATCTGACTTTTGAAGCCTCGAGTGGACACTCGAGGAACTGCAGTCTGTAGCGTAATAACCAGCTTAAATCGAACCACTGACGTAAACTCATCTTGAAAGTAACACATCAGAGTTTTCTCCCAGATTTGACAGAAAAGTTCGGCTCCTTCAGAAGCTCAGAGGTCAGACTAGGACTGGATGATAAACCGAAAATTTACCGATACAGAAAATTACGACAATAACCGACATTGTTTTGCCCATGTCAATATATTCAGTGTAAAGAATTAAACAAATAAAATGTGGATGTGTGTAGGTAAGCTATGGTTTCATCGGTTTAAAAATCAGTGTTTAACAATCTGACTTCTGCAGCCTCAAGTGGACACTTAAGGAACTGCAGTTTATTTACTGAAATAAATAAAAACTGAAATTAAAAGGGAAAAAAATAACTAACTGAAAATGTATTGTGTGTTTACAAAACTAAATAAAAACTAGAAAAAATCCCTTTGTTTTCATTTCAGTCAATTTTGGATCAGTATGAAAATGTTTTATTTCACTCAGGTGATGTTACGTGAGCTAGCAGCACCAAACGGCACCTCCCAGTTCATCACTTCCTGTTGAGAGTCTGCCTCTCATCACCATTTTACCTGAAAAAAGTCGTGAGAAAGCGACAGAGACCTATAGGAAACTTCTTTAAATACGACAGCGAGAAAGACAAAAACAAGTGCCTTAAAAACGGGTGATAAAATATGTGGAATAATTCTCAGGGGAAAAAACTCACAACTCTGAAAGTCTGTTTGAGAAGTTAACACAAGAACACAAATCACGAGAACCTCGACAAAGTGTCCTCTCTGAAGAGCTACCCTGTAAAAGAACCAACATGGACTGTTTTCATCGACAACCAAAGAGCTGCTGGTTAGTAAAAACGCAGGAACACCACAGAGGGGAAGATTGACTCGTAAATCTGTTTATTAAGATCAGTATGTCTACAAGACTGTGTGAGTTGATCTCCTTTAGCCGGTGCTGCACGAGTGAATAACCTCAAGTATAAAATAAACTACAGCTAATACTAGGGGTGGGAGTAAAAATCGATTTACATAAGTATGGCGATTTTTTGTTTTACAATTTTGTAAACCGATTTTTTTGTTCAATAATCTATTTTATTTTTCAAAAGTAAGAATAAATCTTAAAAACTGACTTACATGTGATGTCTATTTTTTGGGGAAATATGGTTCCTGGAATAGTCAATAATAATCACAATCATTCAACTGTTTCACTGGAGTGAAAAATGCAGACTGAATACCGAGAAAATCAACAATATCGTAAGATCGCAATTTAAATTGAATTGGCATCCAAAAAAATCATAGAAGATAAAATCAGGAGAAAAGCATATCGTCTCAGCCCGAACTAATTCTTAAACTCATTAAAACTAAACTAAAACGAATCATTTAGAAAAAAATACAAACTAATAAAAAAAACTCTAAAAACTATTAAAACTGAATTAGAGAAAAAAACAAAATAAAACTAAACTATAATGAAAAATCCTAAACTATTAAACTCTTGGCTTTAACTAGAGGTAAACAGAAAAACCTGATCTTGACAGTTTTCTTATCAAACTTACACGTCAATGTTTTCTCGACAGAAAGGATCTGCACCTTCAGCAGAGCAGAGGTCAGACTGTCAGACCGGGTCGTGGACTCACCCGCCATTTTGGACGACGAGTTTGGAGCGAGAACATGAGGCCTGGAGTCAAACTGGACAAACATCAGCACTTCTTCATCACAGATATCTCAGGTAATGACTGAAACACCAAACAACACTGCAGTCCTCCTCCCAAACATGATCAGGACACCCGCTGAGTTTAATCTGCATATAAACTAAAGCGAGTCGAGTTTTTCAGTCTCCAAAGGGCGTCACTCACTGACAGCAAACCTCAACACACCACCTTAAACATTCTCTCTACTCCAGCAAAGATTGACTTTTGAAATCAAAATCTCTTTAATTCGATCACTTGGGGAAAATTACCTTCAGGCGCCGAAGAGGAAACACTTTGAGAAACATCTGAAGCCAAATCTCAGAGGTTTCTCTCAGACAATGACGAGTTTTCTTACGATAATCTACGACTTTAATCAAGTTATGTTCAAGATATTTCTGTTTTTTCAGAGGAAGAGAGTCTCACAGGAGGACAGACGGGAACATGAAGAAAGAACAGCAGCAGGTTTCAGTAAATCAGACAAAAAAGGACAAAGAAGCTCCTAAAACATCTAAAATCTTCTCACTTTACCACCAACTGAGCACAGAGGGAGAAACTCAAGCAGAGCGACGAATCAGAGCAAAACAAGATTTTTTAAACACAAATAAAGATGAGAGAGAGGAGACTTCTTACCTTCAGAGGAGACCGCTGTGATGTTGTATTTAGTCCAACAGGTGGATCCCAGGAGAATCACTGTTCCATGAAGTTATAAAAAAAAAACTGAGTATTTCCCAGTGACTGAAAATAAAACTGCAAAAGACAAAAAACAAATGAGTGTGAGGAGAAAAGTTTCAGCACTTCCTGTTTCCTGATCAGGTGAGGGTCAGGTGTGTCCAATCAGAGAAGACCCTGGAAATAACAGGGTTTGTTTGGCGTAGTACATCATCTGTCCACCAGGGGGGAGCTGTAAATACTGTTTTGTTGAATTTTTGTGTAAATTGTTGTTTTGAATCTGTTGTTTTATTTTAGGAAACTTTGACATGCAGATTTAAACTTCATATAAAACAGAAAGAGCTTTTTCTCTTTACCTCTATTTGCATATTATGAAAGAAATTGTGATTTTAGTAAAACTGAAGAGAATTTTCATCAAATTTGACCAAAAAAGCAGAAAAAATGTTGAATTTTAAAAGGGATAATCTCACTTAAAGAAGCTTTTATACATAATCTCACTTATTCGTTTTCTTTTCTTTTCCTTCAGATGTTTAACTTAATTCAGAGGGTTTTTTTTTATCTCCCGTGACAAACTAGAAAACATCAGGTTTTTTTTTTTCCTGTAGGACAAAACAGGAAGAAAATCGCCCGACATCAAACAAAACCGTGTTTACAGACAGGCGGGGGCGTCCGTTTACTTTTGGCCATCATGCACTGAACTCCATCGGGCCCTCGTGTCAGTATGCAAATTTTGGGCCAGATTTTATTGCAGAACCTCGACCCACTTTAGATCTCAGGAGGTAATTAAATCAGTCCAAAATAAACCCGAACCTCTGCAGCTCCTGCAGGGGGAGCGAACCTGCATCTATTTCCAAAAATGGTCTAATTAAGGATGCAAAGCCAACAAAATGTTAAAAATAAACCACTTAATGCTGCGCTGTGTGCACACAAGACTGTAAATGCACTTTTTTGGTAATTATTTTGGATCAGCCTCATCTTTTATAAAGATCTGTGCGACTCTTAATCTAATCAAACACTGCCCTCCCATGGCTTAATTGGGTAATCTACATTTTAATGCTCAAACCCCTGCTGGTAATTGAATATCCACTTGTTCTGCGGCTCAGTGAGTGACAGTGATGAAGCACAGGAGGGTGAGAGTTCGTCACAGAAACACTATTACAGTTAGAGAGGAGGGGGATGATCGCACCGCCGGCTCAGCTGCAACGACGACGACGAGAAAAACAGATCTGAGACGAGAGAAACAGAGAGCAAAGATCTGCTGATCTGCTGTTCTCATCTCCACGTGTTTATCTCACGATTACAGAGAAAGACATGAAAGAGAAGAAGAAGGGATGAGGGTGCAGAAAAAAGAGCAGAGAAGAAGACAAGTGTGCAGGGAGGACCAAAGTTTGGATGTTGGAGTGATTAAAAAACGTTTCTGAGGTGAAACCTGCAGGTCCAAATCGAGCTCAGTAGACGACTGATCAGTCAGTACGTTTACATGCACAGATTAATCGGCTTAAGCTCATGACTCTTTTTTTTTTTTTGCCGAATCCGACTTCTCTCCTTGTCCTCGTTTACATGCAGCTGAGAAAATTAAATTATTGACGTGAACGTGTCCTCCTCCCCAACACTAGGGGGCGATATGGGTCTTTTCAGCGGCGCTGTTTCCGACCCCATACAACCGTCAACAACAACAGCAGGTCGGTGTCAGACGTCAGAAGTGTCTACAACTGCTGCTGGGCATTTTGGAGAAACAAGAAGATGGAGCATCGTACAGCGTTGTTTTTGTCCGACATGATGGACGCGCTACTTTTTCTAAAGAGGAGACCAACGCTACTCCTCTACTCTGGGGGTTTGTTACGGGGTTACGGGGGCGTGGCTTCATACTCCGACTACGCTGGTTACATGGTAGAGAAAATCGAATTCCAATCTCATTATCTGGGTGTCTTAATCGGAGTTCTCAGACTCCAAATAGAGTTGGACTAAGGTGTTTATGTGAACTTCAGTTGTCTGGTCCTAATTGGGATAAGGCGATAATTCGGTTTTCTTGAGTGTCATGGAAACGGACTGAGTGAATTACTGATCACCAAAGCCGAGCATAACACACACACTCAGTACATGTACATGACACACGGAGTTTGAGAACTCCAGTTATAGTCGGAGAACTCTGATTAAGACACCCAGATAATGCGACTGGAATTAAATTTTCTCTACCATGTAACCAGCGTAGTCGGTGTATGATCGGACAATGCATGTGCGCGCCACGCCCCCGTAACCCCGGAACAAAACACCAGAGAGGAAGTGGTGCTATCATTTAAAGAACTTTTGACTCAAGAGCAACTGCAACATGGCCGAAGCACGAAAGACTGTCCACTTTTGGAACGATGAAGAGAACGCCGAAATGCTTTCCATCCTGACAGAGATGGACATTTAAAGTATCCGGACGGTCACAAAACGAGGAATGGAGACATCTTTAAAAAAAGGTTTGGAAACAGCGCAGCTGAAAAGACCCATATCGCCCCCTAGGTTTGGGGAGGAGGACACGTTCACGTCAATAATTCAGTTTTCTCAGCTGCATGTAAACGAAGACAAGGAAAGAAGTCTGATTCAGAGAAAAAAACAAATTATGAGCTAAGTCGATTAAACTGTGACTGTAAACTCTCTGAGTGAGACACACAAATACAAACACACACAGTCTCCTCTACATCAGGGGTTTGTTTGTCTGCAGGAGAATGATCCATGTTAGGAACAAGTCCATCTCTGTGAAGACTACCATCCAAGTTTGAGACGACACTTCTCGCTCTGCCTCCTGTTTTTGCTGATGCTCTCCCTTCCTCAGGTTTCAGCTTCAATGTCAACACACAGGAGCTCTCAGGGCGGAGCTACACCTGTACCACAGAGGGTGATGGTGCTCATGGGAAATGAAGTCTTCTCTCATCATAACACAAACTCTGAGGAGTTTGTGCCTTCAAAGTTCACAAAAACTACTAAAACATCATTTGACTTCAATTTAACCGTCAGTTTCACAAGTTGGTAAACTTCTTATCAAACTTTTTCGACTCCGTCTCCCAGGAAACGACAGTGAAGTTGGTTTTTGTTCATTAATCTGATCAAATATTCTCAAAGTCTCAGAGTTGAATCTGCATAAATGATCTTAAATTTCATTAAAGTTAAAATAATAGCTTCATGATTTGAAATGTTTTATTCACGTCTCCATGCATGTCAGCCTCCACAGGCGGTCTGTAAAGGCGTCTCAAACATGCGTCCCAATCGGAATTATTGATCGGACCTTTATTAAACTTTGAGGATGCATGCAAACTGCTGGTCCTGGTCTTTGAGAGGATCAGGATCAGGACTCTGATCTCAGTGTGGTCTACATATCCTGGTCAGGTCTTAAATATGTGTTAAAGTTCCTGGTTCATGTCTCAGTCCGTCTCTCCCTGCAGACCGACTCCTCGCCGCACACCGATAGAGATGTCAAACACTTCAAACAGCGGCGTGATCAGAGAGGAGAGAGGGAGAGGGAGGTTAAAAATGAATGGAGGAATGAACTGAAGTCTGGAAGAGTGGGAGAGGAGGAGAAGGAGGAGAGGAGGAGGAGGAGGAGGAGGAGAGACACGAGTTCAAATCAATGAAGGGTGGAGGAGGAGGTGGAGGGTCGAGGCTCGGTGTGAGAGCAGACAGAGTCCAAAAACAGAGAGAGACAAAGAGAATGATGGAGCAGAGTGAGACGTCTGTGGAGAGAGAAGAGATGAATGAGGAGGAGTGAGAAATGTGCAGCAGGAGCCCCCCCTGCAGGACAAAGTACGAACTGACACAGCTGCTGCAGAGATTCAGCTTTTATGAATATCTCAGAGAGGGTTCGAGTAAAAAAGAAGAAAAGAGGGATGAGTTTTATCTCCTTTAAAACTATAAAGACAAAATCAGTCACAAATGTGGAAAAACAGGAGCTGAAATACCTGAAAAAGTCAGACGAGCTCCTCTGAAACCTGGAGTTTTTATCTGGTTATGAAACAGACTGATGTTAATATTGATGAATTAAATATTTCTATAGTTATTTTTTAATTTCCTTAACACAGGAAGTGATCAGCTGTGAGCTGCAGAGTGATTTTTAATGATGAAGTATCAGGCGACCCTCTAATATGAGACCAATTATATAAAAAGACCAAATCCTTTAAATTAATAAAGATATTTTAGTAAAATAATGAAGGGAATGATCGTGTTTAACATATTTAGACTGTGTTTCTGAGGTGCTGCACAGCTAAATTTTTCAGATTTAAGAGGGTTCGATTTCACTCATTTTCACCTCTCACCATTACATGACTGACATCCCCAAATCTCCTTATTCATCCTGAACTACCATCTATTAAAACCTCATTTCAGCCTCTGCCTGAAAAGCTTAGTTTTAGCTGTTTCTACACTGATAGAAAGTTTAAGGTTTTTACTTTTTACTCAGCTCTGCAGTCCTGATAGAAACCTGAAAGTCCACATTATTCATTAGCTCCAGTAAACTGCTGTGATCATGTGATTTACAGTTAGAGGTTCAGGTTCTTCATGAAGGTCTTTATAGATGAACAGATCCAGAGTTCAGTACCAGCTGAGACTCAGATCCAGATCAGACTGGACTTTATTTACAAAGGAGTCATCGGTGAAGAGGTTAGCCCAGAGTTCGGTAACTCTTTAAATACCTGAAACCAGAAAATTAACCAGAAAATTCAATTTTTTTGGAGCTGAAATGTTTATTTCATTTACTACTGAAAACCTCAAAAATCAAAAATTTAACAAATATATTTATTGATCTCTTTGATACATTGTATGTAATTGGAAACTGATAAACTACAGGAGGACATTTTTATCATTTATCTGTATTCAGGTGATTTTTAATAATTTGTTGATCGTATTGATTTGATAAAAGTTTATAAAAGTATCAAATATGATACAAAAGACATTAAAGGGTTAAAACTTCACCTGTCGAGTGAAATCATACCTGAGAAACCTTCAGAGACAAGGAAAGAGTTTACTGAGTGGGCGTGTCTTTAGGAGAGCTACCAGGTGGGCGTGTCTTCATGAACATTATCAGGTGGGCGTGTCTTTAGGAATGTTACCAGGTGGGCGTGTCTTTAGGAGAGCTACCAGGTGGGCGTGTCTTTAGGAGAGCTAACAGGTGGGCGTGTCTTCATGAACATTACCAGGTGGGCGTGTCTTTAGGAATGTTACCAGGTGGGCGTGTCCGAGTCGAACAGCAGATCCTGATTTCATGTTAAGACCATGTTTTGAAAAGTTTTAAAACAAACTGTCTGAAGACGTCTCGAAGTCCGCCTCTTCATGAATATTTGTGTTTAAACCAAGTCTGTGATGTTCATTCAGAAAAGTTAATCACGACATGTTCTACAAACAACTCGCTTTATTCACTTATTTGCAAAAGTTGAAAAATCTAAACTCACGTGAATCATTTTCACTGCGACCACAGATCAGCACGGAGACCCTTGACGTAGGTCTACATCAGTGCATTTGTTGTGGCGTCATGAACTATAAGGTAGAGCTTTTTTTTTTAGATTGAAACATAAATAAAAAGGACTGAGACTGAGGAGGTCAGGTTGTCCTGGAAACGCCAATCCTCCTGACCTCAGGTGGTCGTAATGAATCAGCTGACCAGTTAGAGCGAAAAATCTGATAAAACACTGAAACGCAGGTCTGAGTCCTGCAGAGAAATCTAGTCCCAGATCTGTATTCAGTCCAGGTAACCAAGTGCATGCCTGTGTGTGTGTGTGTGTGTGTGTGTGTTAGCATGTGCCTCTCCCCGGGGCGTTGCGCGGCCGTGCTGTGAGGACGGGATCTTTTATCTTGGCTGACGTCCCAATCAATCAGCCAGACACTGATGGAGACCCAGGGTGCCCACAGAGTCCACACACACACACACACACACACACACACACACACACACACACACACACCTGGAGCTCTTAACCCCTTTATCTCTGTCCTTTGTCGAACAGCGGGCTTTTTGTTCATCGCAGAGTCAAGAGGAAGGTCTTTGTCGGGTCCTGATTGTGTGTCTGTGTCCTCACTTTTAACACAAATACACACAAACACACACAAACACACACACACACACACACACACACACACACACACACACACCTGGGAGTCTCTGCAGGACACTTTTCCACCAATCAGGTGAGTCCAGGTAACATCCTTAATGACATCCTCTGTTAAATCTGCAGGTTTATGCTGTCACGTTAACAGCTTTTCAAAATAAAGGTCACAACAGGAGGACAGTAAACACTGATATTTTCAGAGTAAAGTTGAACCTGCAAACTCTTTAGAAATTAAATACTAGACTCTATTAAAAATGTGTTTTATGAATGAATTTATTCCTCTGAGTTTTATTTTCTAAATCTTCTTCTATAAGAAATAAGTTCTTGAATCTCTAAACTCAAACTTTAATACAAACATGAACGCTGCAGTATTGGACGTTCAGACTGAACCTCAACAAAAACGTGAGATCCTCTCATGTTGGTGTCAAAGCTGTGTAAAAAGTAACACCCACCTGCTGTGTCTAACAGAGTGTTGAAAGTGTCTTCACTGTAGATGTTCCACACGGTCATGATCAACGTTCTTCCCTGAATCTCTCCAACTTTTTCCCAAATTTCCACAGCCTTTAAATCGACCCCGCGTCCGTCTAACTTTTCAAACAGATTGATCGACTCGAACACAAACGTCAGCCCTCCCTCCTCGACGATCCGTCTCCGCTCGTCTTCACGCCCGCAGCTATTTCACGTGCGATTAGTCTCTCAGGCGTCATCATCCGAGAGCGGCGGGGTACACTCCTCATACATCAGCCGCAACAGGCCTCATTAAGTACCTGGCACCTGCTTCCTATAGAGACCAATTAGAAAACTGGGAGTAATGGGAGGAAATCTCTCTCTCTGTCTTTCAGGATATGAGCCAATCAGGAGCCAGATTAAATCACCTCAGCGAGCTCGTTAACAACCATGGGAGATCTAAGGTGGAAGTAGGAGCAGTAGGTCAAAGGTTATTGGCTGTTTGTTGGATCCAGCTCCTAGTGGCTGTTTAGTGAACTGCAGCTCCTCCCTAAACCAAACAATGTGACTAAATAACGAGGTGTGATCCTCCTGCTTTTGCTCTCCATACACAGTTTTTCCTGATGGTTCCCAGAGAGGGGGTGTGCAGAGTCAGGTGTAATATTGATCTACTTTTATGTTTGTAAAGAAATGACAGGTAAATAAAGTTGATATACACCTCTAACGCACTTTCAGCACCAACTTCAACATTTAGTTTCCGCCCGGCGAGGAGCGTGCGCCATCAAAATGTCATCTTTTGGAAACATCCCAGAAAAACAACCTTGTTCTCAGCCGTCTGATGGTGTTTTTTACTCCTCCCAGCGGGGTGTTGGAGGAGGTTTATGGGCCAGAGCGGACAGATAGAGGAGTGTAAACACACGGAGGAGCATGGACTACAGGCTGTGGAGGGAAACATGAAAATCAATGAAACACACACACTCGTGTCTCCATCTCTGGTGGAGGTTGTTTCAACATCCTTCAGCGAGTTTTTCAAGGAAACGGGAACATTTCTTTAGACTTTCATCGTCTTTGTAACGTGCGGTGAAGTTCATCAGCTGTGTCTTGTTTACATCCTCGCTCTGGTGTTTGCAGGCGTCTTTAGGAGACGCTCAAGTATTGATTCTGAGGAGGATCCAAGGTGAGAGGAGAGGAAGGGAAATACATTTTTAATCTGTGATTAACTTTGAAATCTGTATAAGAGGCGTTTAAGTGATCGCCTCGGAAGATGAGGAGACTAACCCCGAACCCCGAACTGCGAGTCCACCAATTCCTAACGGATCTGTTGGTAAGGCAAATCTCGTGACGGATTACAGACAGCAGTAATCCTGAGAATTTACAGGAACCCGCAGATTCTCGTTTAATCGCACAATAACGAGTTGTCTCTATAAAGACAGACACATAGACATATAAGCAGTAGATTGTGTCCTTCCAGAGGAGGAAATCTACTTCTAGACTTCTAGAATCAGCATCTCCTCATCCATGGTGTCATCGGGGTGAAATGACGTCTAAAAACCTTTCACTTGTTCGTCTCCGCCCGTTTACATGGTGTGAAATACGATCCTCCTGAAACACGGAGTGTTTTATTTTGAAAAGAAGCCGGATGTTTTATTTTGTTTCTGTGCCCGACTTCCTTTCCAGCACGGGTTAATCTGTGCTGAATTTATCCGCCATGCTCCGGCGTCCAGAAAAAATAGAACTCTTGTGATCAGCTGAGGAGTCCAGCGATCCTCAGAGGAACGGAAAGAAGTCGGTGTAAATTGATACGTTAACTTGAATGGTTACGATCAGAAAAGATCGGAGGATACGACCTTTTAGGAGACGATCAGGATGAAGGTGGAAATCTGGGGTCAGTCTGTAAGGTGGACTGAAAGACATGCTAATGTTCACATAACTCTGCAGATAAGTTTGACGTTATTTACATCCATGTTTCCCTCTTTTTAATGTGCAAGGGTGTAGGTGTCACCTGAGTAGCTTAAGAAGCAGAAGCAATGAAACTCTTCCCTGATTTGGCCACAGGGGGCGCCAAAAAAGTCACAAAATCTGACTCAAAAGTCAAATCTAGATGTGTGTGCTTTGGCGCCACTTTTTGGAGACGATGGACTTGAGTTTGTGTCTGACTGGCAGGAACTTTTATTCTGAAAATCTCCAAGTTTGTTTGGATTCAGAGACTAAAACTCGATGAAGTGAAACTGAAAAGGATCACAAAGTCAAACAGAGGTTTGAGTTCAGACTCGGCTGTTTTTCAAGGTCGTCTGTGACCCTGGTCTCGCGCTCGCCTGGTGTCAGGTATCAGTCCGTCAGGAGTTAAATCCACTCCAGCGCCTGACAGCTCCACTCTCGCTCTCTGACTGATGACACATGACCGGGTCCGAACATAAGAAGTCAATATATTTGGGCCTTGTTTCCTGCCGTTCTCACCCCCCCTCCACGCCCTTCCCCTGCCCTCGATGCTTCCTTTCCTCTCTCTCCTCCTTCCTTTCCTCCCTCGCTCTCTCCCGGCAGCCTGGAATGAATTTGCCCGGTCATGTAGAGCCGTGTCGGCGCGAGGCGGAGCTGGCAATTCATCACCCTGCTCTGCCTGCCTGTCACTGCTTCTTTCTTTCTCCTGAGTGGGAGTGTGTGTGTGTGTGTGTGTGTGTGTGTGCAGGGCGGCTGGTTGCCTGCTGTCAGAGCTCCTCGTCTGCTCCTCCATCCCCTCTGGACCCCCGGTAAAGACTGAGCGAGGCCCTTCGCTCTCCTCCTCGCTGTGACAGCTCCCAGCGGACGCCTGGATGGATGGAAGGAATGAAGACGGGTGGAGGGGTGGGGGGGGACCCAATTATCCCAGAATGCAGCGGTAGGTGGTGTTCAAATCAGGCGGTGTGACCTCTGACCTCAACAGTCCATTGGCGGGAGAGTGAGGTGTTTTAGCACAAAGCTGCGCGAGCTCAGAGGAAAGCTAATGGAGCTCCATTTTACCGCCATTTATCCACGGAGCGCGGCCGCCCTGCGGCGCTGCACAGATTAACCATTAAGACGCATGAAGTCTCCCGCAGAGACACGGACAGACAGCGGACGCACGCCCAGCAGCTGATCGGCCCATTAGGGCGCACGCCGCCGCCAAAAAGACAACCACGGCTTAACGGAGAGGATGAGGCCACTTTACCGACGACATGCAGGACAGGAAATGAGTTTACAGATAATTTAGCGCCACTTTCCCGCTCAGCCGCCGAGTCCAGAACGACAGCAGGACGTGATGAGGACAAATGATGGAGAACCAGACGACGGGCGTGAACAAAGAGAGGAGGGGAGGGAACGCCACGAGTAGAAGACCCAAAGAAAGGAGACCACGTTAAGACTGAAGACCAAAAGACAGGAGACCATGAAGAGTAGACTGAAGACCCAAAGAGAGAACATGGAGGCCAACGCCATGATTACAAGACCGAGAAGGAGGGGGCCATGATGAGTAGACTGAAGACCCGAAGAGAAGCGACGACCAAGGTAACACTGAAGAACGAAAGAGAGGAGACCATGAAGACGGGACCGAAGAGCCAGAGAGGAGTTCAAGAAGACTAGACTGAAGACCCAAAGAGAGAAGGGAAAGGCCAACGCCATGAGTATAAGATTAAAAGGGAGGAGGCCATGATGATAGACTAAAAACCCAAAGAGAGGAGAGAACGAAGAGTAGACCGAACCCATGAAGATTAGATCGAAGAGCCAAAGACAGGCGACCATGAAGAGTAGACAGAAGACCCAAAGAGAGAACGAGGAGGCCAATGCCATGATTACCGAGAAGGAGAAGGCCATGATGAGTAAACTGAAGACCTGAAGAGAGGCGACCACGAAGAGTTGACTGAACACCCAGAAAAAGGAGACCACGAAAAGTAGACCAAAGACCTAAAGATAGGAGACTGTAAAGATTAGAACGAAGACCCAATCCACTAAAAAGTTCAAAAATTTAGAATCACTGGAAGTAGATCACCAACCAAACCCTGTAGACCACATCCATGTGTGTTAAAGGTACGGTCTAAAAAGACTGTTTAAAAACAGACATTATAACCCTGACTGTTTTGTGTTGAAAAGTCAGAATAACTCATTTTAACTTCACGTATGTTTTATTGAGTTAAGTGATGTACTCACACAAGTTTTTTTTTTATTCATACATTACTTTAATAAAACAATATTTTTCATGTGCTTTGAGTTTCTGCGCTAAAATTAAAGATTATTCAGGTTTATTATTTTTATCGTTGTTCAGAAATGTAAATTTAAAGACACAGATTTTTAAGAACCTTTTTGAAGTTTTGGGTTAAAGTCTCGACAAACCTTTGAAATTCAGATTTATAGGTAAATAAAGGAATAAATCAAGTTTATTTTGGTCTGACCTGTCCTGATCACACATTTATACTCCTGAAATTTCCCAACATTTTACCCCTGAGCCATCAGGCTACTAAACAACAATATGTGCAATACCTGAATGATGTGTGGATGAGAGGAAGGTTGAGTTTTCTTTTAGAATAGTATATTTCATTATTTCAAGTTTTTGTTAGTAGGCTCTATTATAGTGTTTTTATACTGTGTGCTTTTACAATTATTGTTTTATATTTACTGTTCTTATATTTATTGCTTTTGTTGTACACTGGGAAGACCATCCTAAACTAATTTGGTGTACAATAACAATAAAGTCTGAATCTGAATTCACTCCTGAAGACGAGGAGTTTTTGTGTTTCTATCTATGATGCATGAAAATCTTGCTGCCTGGGTGTGTTTACATCTTCACTCCATCGCTCAGTTTGAACGACTCTCCTGATATAAACGTGATCTTCCCGTCTTCGCTGCTCTGATTTCTGACTTCCTGCGGGGACTTTATTGGCGGGCTGACAGGAGAGATTGCAGCAGTTTGCAGGAATTTCACTCACGTATAAAAAGAGACGTTTGTTTTTGCAGCAGAAGCCCGAGGCTCTGATCCAGAGTCTGTTCATCATTTAAGATCTGACTTTATGTGAGTTCAGCTGCAGAGACGCGTCTCAAAAATCAGGGTCTTAATGTAAAAAGCAGGATGTGGCGGATAAAAGCTGATGATGGAGCAGAGCGAGAGGAGAAAACATCGTAAAACACAATCAAGACGCGGCGACCACGGCGTCCATAAAAAAACTTTATTATTGTTGTAAGGTAAGATTGACAACAACATGCTTTAACCACGATAAAAAATAAAAAGATATTGCACTGGTTTTACTCTAGCAATGTTTTTTTTTCTCTCTTAACATCTTTCTGGAGCTTTTACGGTGCGCTGCTGAATCTTCCTCCTCCTCATCCTCCTCTTCATCACTTTTTAAAGACAAACACCAAAACACACACGCGGGGAAATACTGCCCTCGTCTGCAGAAGTCGAGTCCATAAAAGTCGATTAACGTCCGCGGACAGAAACAGGATTAACAGACTGCACACGGAAACACAACCTCATAAACCTGTGAGTGTGTGTACGAGTGTGTGTATACGAGTGTGTGAGTGTGTGTGTGTGTGTGTGTGTGTCCTCGTACCTCTTCATACTCAAAGTCACATGATTGGATCGTCTGTGCGTCTCACAGACAGATGCTCAGAGTCAGAGAGTACGGAAGCTCACTGCGGACAAAACTCACAACATCTCAAAGACCTTCAGTCCAGGTCCTGAGGTGGTTTCGGATCACGAACAGGGACAGAATCATCAGCACCGGACCGGATCCTTAGGGGCCGATCAGGTGACCTTTTAGGAGACCACCACAGAGGAAATAAATCCACCTGAAGTTCCACTCTTCGCTAAAGTTCCTCACAGGAAAACGGGACTTTCAAGAACCGAAACCTGGTTCTGAAAAACACTCCTGGACTTGTGCGTGCATCAGCGTCTCTTTCTGGGCCTTTGCATCAGAGCAGCAGGAGTGCATGATGGGTAAATAAAAGCTGGAGGTCGGACAAACTGACAAAGAGAGTCTGAGTGCCGGACACGACCTGACCGACCAGGAGAGGAGGGCACAGGACAGAGGGACCCGAGGGAGTCTGGGTAATGTTTGTGCCGGCCGACCTGACCCTCTGCTATCTGAGCGTGTGTGTGTGTGTGTGTGTGTGTGTGTGTGTGTGTGTAAATGTGTGTGTGTATGGCGAGCAGACCCGGGGCTTTAAGATTAATGACACCCCGAGGGACACTTCCTTTAGTCTCCAGCAGATGGCCGAAGCAGCGTCCTCACACACCGGAGCAAACCAGTATGTGTGTGTGTGTGAGTCCTCTTATTGATCTATATGTATATAAATGTGTGTATGAGTGTGTGAGTCGGTAATAAGACGACCCGCGGAGAGCAGACAGAGCTCCAACTTTCAGACCTGTTGGCGAGACGGCGGGGGATTCATCAGGACGTGAGGCGGCGGCGTGGAGAGATCAGACCTCACACTGATCCTGAAGATTATTAGAGACCCCTTCATGGAGCCAGATCCAGATTTTTGAGGTCTTAATGACCCCCCCCCCTCTCCTCGGTGATTCATTAGTCTGGACTGGAGAGCGGTCGGGTCGGATCGATGTGCGAAAACAAAGTTTGATCGGAGTCTCTCAGCAGCTGGAGATCGTCTTCGCTGAAGTTCTGAGTAACTGAGTCGTTAATCTGATAAACTGAGATTTGGAGTTTTACATTTAGGTCTAAATCTGTTAAATTTAAACCAAAAACTCTCGACTAAACTTCAGTTCTGTCCTCACCCTGAAACCAAATCTAAACTAAGAGTTCAAGCTGTCTTTTTATGATCAAAACATCTTTTTTCCTTTTTTAAACTCAAATCTTTGAATTTCCTGGTTCATTTGTTTTCGTACTTTAGCCGATATTGACGATAAACTGCAAACAAACAGACTTATTCATGTCGTTTCAGCTTGGATCGGTCCGGACATGAAGCTCCTTCTGCTCTGAGTTTGGTCGACTTTTCTGATCTTTGTTATTTGACCTCGTCTGAATCTTAAAGAGTCAGACTTAAGACCTGAAATCAACAGACGTAATCAAACTTTGAGGATTTCTTTCCTAAACTCAGAGATAATTCGAAGGAAAACTTTTCTGTCTGTGTTGATTTTGATCCAACGTCTTTGCACGACTCTGATGTTAGCTTTGCTTCCAGCTCAAACACACGTCTGCGAGTCTCGATGCTCACGACTCTGTCTTTGCTCGCTCTGATACCTGAATCCGTCTGTTTTCGCTCCCTTCGCCTCACTTTTGTCTGAGCTTTGCACAAAAACGAAACAGCCGTCTCATTTTCCTGCAGATCCCTCGCTAAGAGGCGAGAGTTCAGTGAGCTTTATGATTGAGATCAAACTTTCTGATCGACTCCACCTGTGAACGCACTTTCTGGATTATCAGGCTGTTCGTGAAGGTGGAGATGACTGAGATGTGTGTGGCGTGCGTGTCCAGAGCATGTGGAGGTGTGGGGAGGTGATTCTTCTCACCTGTGGGAGGAGGTTTGATTGCTACAGGCGATGAGTTCCACTCAGAAAACCCCAAAAAACACAAACAGAAAAGTCAAAAACAACGACATGTAAACATGACCGAGAGATCGCCACAGTCCGATTTACAGCGTCCTCGAAGAGACGCAGGAGCAGAACACATTCAGATCCAGGACACAGGAGGACTCGCACCTACGGGGTCGGGCTCGGAGAAAACAAGAAAAATCTGAAGACGAGGAAACGCACAGAAAGAAAATAAACCAGGGCTGTGATCATGAAACCTGACAAATCCAGGAAAAAAAAGAGGAGCGTTTAGAGGAAGGGTCCTGGATTATTTCACCTGGGCTCTGTGTTCTCAAGGTTTCTGAAAAGTCCGGAATTCATCGACTGAGCGGGAGCTTCACCCTACAGCCGTGAGTTTGATTGTAATCGCTGTGATTTTTAGAGATGATGAAGTTCATTAAAGACGCCACCAGATCTGTGCCTCATGAAACCCGGGAGTTTTCCCCTTAATGACACAAAAAAAAACAGCCCAGGTGTCAAACACCGGAAGCCCCGCCCCCAAAAATCTCACAAACATTTTATTTTAACCTCCTAAAGCGATAAATCTGAGCGCCGACCCCGACCACTCTTCAAACATCTCATCGAGTTTTTTTGTCTCAAGAGAGAGATCTCACACACACACACACACACACACACACACACACACACACACACACACACACACACACACACACACACAGGTATCAGGGTGTCCTGTCAATCCTAAAACACACACACACACACACTCAAAGTATAAAACAGATGCACAACAGAACTTTAAATATTCTTGTATATATACACAGATAACCATGCACGGATGAACAAACACTCGCTCCCTCACACACACACACACACACACACACACACACACACACAAATACAAAGTAAAGTCAGAGACCTTTACAGGATTAGAGGCAGAACAAAAACACAGCAAGTTGGTCCAGATACCAAAAAAAAAAAATCTACAACAGCCTCCGAGGGCCGAGAAGAACCGGGAATAAAAAGCTGGAGGTCCGACGATGCAGTCGCTCTGAGCATGCTCAGTTTAGAGGGTTTTTACTGTATGAATCAGAACATTCGGTGCTCCCCCTGCTGGCTGGCTGCAGTAATAACACGGGTCAAACTGTTTGAGCGTTTTGGATTTGCATCTCAAAGAGAAAGGAGGTCAGCAGCATCATTATGAGTGGGTGAATCTGAAAAAACAGGCTAACAGGACAGATGCGTTTCTGTGCTAATGCTAACGCTAACATCCCCAGTTGGTTTTTGATTCAGTCTGAATTTCAAGTTCTGTAAATTAATTTTTCAAACACATATTGGATCATAGTTTGTGTTTAAAAGGACAGAGTTAGATATTTCATTTTGCAAAGTTAGCATAACAGTTAGCTCAATGCTAATTCAGTCAAATGCAGATTGCGCCACATATGCTAATATGAAACCATCTTCGCTTTCAATCGAGTATAGATGAAGTGTGTTCGGTAAGGCAAGTCCTGATTGGTCCGCA